ATAGGGCTACACTTCCATAACCATTACACATATTCCATGCAATCCCCATCAAAGTACCGCGGAGTTTTCTCAGTTACAGAAAATAATCCTAAAATGTATGTGTAGTCAAAAGAGATTTAGAACAGCAAAAGCAATCCTATGTAACAAAAGCAAAGCAAGGCAACATCACAATTCTACACCTGAACTTACACTATATAACCACAGGGGTAAAAACAGCACGGCACTGGCACAAAAACAAGCATGGGGATCAGTAAAACAAAACTGAAGTGGCAGGGCCAGGGGTATAGCTCAGCAGCATAAGTGCCTGCTTGGCAAATACAAGGTCATGAGTTCAATCCCTGGTACCAAAAAACAAAACAAAAAAAAACTACTCTGAAGAGGCACAAATAACCCCACACATGCACAGCTATTTGATCTTTGACAAAGGAGTAAAATACATATCCTGAACGAAGGTCTCTTTAATAAATGGTGTGGGAAAGTTGAATATTCACATGCAGAAGATTGAGTCCAGACTCATATTTTACCATCTGCTAAACTAAAATCAAAATGGACCAAATATCTAAATGTTAAAACAGAAACAATTTTCCAATCTACTGGAAGATAAAATAGGTACAACTCCTTAAGAAATGATACTGGGAATCAGCGAAAGTATCATATCAAATTAAAAAGCATCTACACAGCAAAGAACAGCCAACAAAAATGAAAAAACAATGTACAGAATGGGAAGAATTTTCACCAGCTATTCCACAGACAGAGCTAACATCAAAGAACATATAAAGAACTTCAAAAAACAAGGCCCAATCAATAAGAGGCAATCAAAATGAATAGACACTTCTCAGAAGTATCAACGGCCACTAAATATGGGGGGGAAAAATGGTCATCATTGAGGCCATCAGAGAAATGCAAACCAAAACTACTCTAAGATACCACCTTACCCTAGAAAGAAGAGCTATCATCCAAAAATCTAAGAACAAATGTTGGTGAGGATGTAGGGAAAAAAGGACTCTAGTACATTGTTGTTGTGAATGAAAACTAGTACGACCACCAAAAATCAGTGTGGAGATTCATCCAATAACCAAAAGTGGAAACTCCATTTGACTGAGCCATTCCTCCAAGGTATCCCACCAAAAGAGCTAAAATTACCATATTACAGGCATACATGCATATCCATGTTTATAGCAACATAATTTATAATAGGGATGTATGGAAACAGAGTGTATGTCCATCAACGGATGAACGGCTAAGGATAATGCAGTATTTGTACACAATGGAAACTACGTCTACCAAGAGGCTTGTAGGTAAATGGATGCAACCTGAGAACATAAGTGAAATAAGTCAGACACACAAGCTCATATATAAACTCATATATCCCATGGTTTGCCTTACATGAGAAACACACACACACACACACACAGAACAAAACAGAAGTCATAAATAGGAAACAGGGACAAGTTCAAATACTTCCCCAAATTAAATATTCCATTTTTAAAATATTTCAATATGTGACTTTTATTTCATTTATACTAATATTTTATCTTAGCTTGTTGAAAAGAAAATTTGTGTTTTTATCTGTTTCTTTCTTGCAAGAAATCTTTTTGGTTTATGTCTTGTACAGAGTATCTACTTTGAAGATAATGATACACTATAATAAGTATTGCTATTCTCTTATTATTTGGTTATGAAAACCTGCTTTATTTTTTCATAAAATAAAAAGATTTTTAAAAGAAAAAGAAAAAAACCCTAGTTGCTCAGGCTGGGCTTGAACTTGTGGTCGTCCCATTTCAGGCTTTCAGAATGCTGCTATTATAAGGCACATGCCTCCCTCCCCACTTTAGCTGTCACATTATGAACCTGCTTTACCCGTAACTCCCTACATCATCTCTCCCTGACATATTCTGAAGTATATTCCAGCTATCAAGTTATTTCACTCATAAATATTTTAATGTCTGTCAAATCGACTTAAAAAACTTCCACCTCCAAGATTCTGCGTTTCTATATGAGCAAAACACAAGAAAACTGAAAAGTCTGTTAACATTCATAAAGTGAATTACGTTCACCATTTACTTAGCTAGATGTAGATAAATTATGGTGGTACTTTAATATTTTCACTGTCTATAGTTTCATGGTGACATCTAGTGGATACAAATGAGAACAGAAACGGTAAGGTTAAAAAATACCTAATGCATTGGAGTTGTATAGGCAAAAGTTCCCAGGCCCAAAACAGCTAAATAACAGAATGTTCTTCAGCAACTCATCTTCTTTTAAGGAAAAAAAAAAAAAACCCAAAAACAGAATGTAACACGAAAGGCACTTTTGGGGCGTGTGTGTGTGTTAGGTGGTACTGGCAATTAAATCCAGGGCCTTCACACTTAGCTAGATCCCCGCATTTTCCTCCCTTTCTGACTTAAGCCATTAAGTTGCCCAGCCTGAGCTCAAATTTGCAATCCTCCCGCCTCACATCCTGGCAGTGCTGGTATTACACACCTGCACTATCACACCCAGCTCGTTTGATTATTTTGTCTCCTACTTATTTAATCTCATTTTTTGTTCTTTCTTACAAACTATTAGAAAGTTTCTACCACTTATTTCTCAAATACACAAAGCTCAGTGCAGATTCTAGCTTTTTAATTGTTTCTATTATCTCAAAAATTCTCTTGAATTTATCAATTCAATTCAGCTTATCAATTCAAAGTATACCATCCAATTCCATCCCTTCCATGAAATCTTCCCTACTATTTCCTCTGAACTTTAAATTATGTGAACTCCTAAAGCACAATTTTAATTGCCAAATATAGGAAATGTATTTATATTATTATCTAATAGAACCTATAGTATTATCTTTGCATATATCTATGTGGGAATATAAACTCATGGGAGGTTTTTACTACTACCCCTACAGTGCTTAACAAATACAGAGTATTCAAATACTGCTGACCGATATGTTTTGTGCACTTAATTAGGCAGATGAAGTCAAATTCTTACTACAGTGGGATTTATGACTGTAAGTATCACAATACAAGGACTGGGTCTACCTTAGTGACTGGTCTATCCTTGTACCTTATACAGTAATGGTCAGATAAACAGTTGCTAAACAAATTGCTTATAATCTTAGAAAGAAAACAAAAAATTTTATAAAAATTATAACTATACAGAAGATGGAGGGAATGAGAATCATGAGAGGAGGGGAAGGGAACATAAAAAATATTAAGATGTGTTATGTACATGTACCAATTTACCACGGTGAATGTAATCATTATTTGCTGTAAACCAAACCAAATTAAAAAAAAAACAGACTTGTAAAATACTTTTTCAAAGTATTACTATAAACCAAACAAGGAAAACAAAAAGTCAGTTTAAGACAAAAGAAATTTCTTTTAAAAATTTAAAATGATAACATGTGTTTTTAAAGGTTCCTCTATTTTTACTCAAAGCTGAAATGATTATTGGCAAGTGCACTAACTTATGCAGCAACAGAGCTTTTATTTTCATAGTCACTATTTTCCATATTTTTCTCTATTCCTCTCACTATCCCTAGGATTTTTGTTTTGGTTTGATTTGATTTTGGTTTCTGGAGACAGGAAGCTTGCAATCCTCTTGCTTTAGCTTTCTAAGTGCTGCTAAAAGTTTTTGAATAAGATAAAGAACAAGATGAAGAAGGAGAAATGAAGAACATACAAACTAGAGCTGACCAAATGGAATTAAATGATTTGACTATCTATTCAGAAGAGTTTAATTTTTAAATATCAGGCACATAAAAGTTAAACATTTCCAGAAAGTCTGGACAGCCCATGTATTTATTAAATTACTTGGTCTATAACTATAGACCCATTTACCATGGCAATCAGGTTAAAACAGAAAAATAAGGAAGGCCAGACATGGTAGTGCACACCTATAATTCTAGCACTTGGGAGAGATGAGGCAGGAGGATCACAAGTTCAAGTCCAGCGGGGCCCACATAGTGAGTTCAAGCCTGAATTACATAGCCAAGACCCTCTCTCAAAAAAACCAAAAAAAGGGCCATGTGCAGGCTGACTGGGGGAGAGCTAAACGCCAACCCTCTCCTGTGAGTTGATGCCATTCAAGACTACAGGGGAGGAGAACAAGAAGTTAACAAGAAGCTAAGACCTCCTGTGACATGTGCCATGCACAGGTTGACTAGGGGACAGCCAAGTCAGCCCTTTCTGGTGTGCAGGCAGGGAGACAAGAAAAGCCAACGTCCTCCCCATCCCCCTGCTGAGCAACCAGCTGATCTGGAGAAAAACAGGCTGTAATGATAGCTGATGAGGTAAAATACAACTTAATACTTTGTAGTGTTTAGTGTTTCACTACTCTGCAGGCCTAAAGCTGGTAGTCTGATCATCTATTCAGAGAATAATAATATGCAAAATAGCACACATGGGGGAATCTCCTCCTGAAGGTAGTGGCCACTGTTAATTCCCCTTTATCACGTTTTGAAATCCTGCATCATTCTCATTGTTTTGTTTGGCTGTGTTTTGTTTTACCTTGTTCACTTCTGTTGTATACGCTGTCCATTTTGGATTTACTATTATCTTGTTTTGAAGTTCTATATTGCATTCATTGTTTTGTTTTTATTGGTTCTATTTTGTTCTGTTTTGTTTGATTTTACTATGTCTGAAGGTCTGGGCTATTTTGAAGACAACAAGAGGCATCATGTTAACCACTGTTTTATTTTTCGCACTGGGGTTCAAACTCATGACCTCACACTTGCCAGACAGACACTTGTACCGCTGAGCTATATCCCCAGTTCCTTGGTAACCATTGTTGATTTCCTATTATCTTGTTTTGAAATCGTGTGTCATTTACACTGTCTTGTTTTGATTTGCTTTATTTTACTTGGTTTTATTCTCTCTAAAGTAAAATTAAAAAAAAAAAAGTGAAGTTGAATGTAGTACCTCTTAATTCTATTTCATATACTATATAAACTGGAAATCTCTAAAAGTTTCAAGGTTGGGGAAAAATCATTACAAAATATTACTTACAGCCTGCGCTTGTTGTTGAAACAACTCACTTTGATTTTCTATTGCATCCCCAAGCTTCTGGGAAGTGGGTAAGCTAAAACTTCCAAAAGCAGCATTCGAATTGCTTGGAAAAACACTTGTCCTTTTAAGAGTTAAATGTCCTGGATCAAAAGATCGCGTGGTTATAGAACCTCCTTTTTCTGCCTATACAAAAGAAAAATGACAATCAGATTTCAGCCCAACTTAGTCTAATCAAACAATGCATTTGGAGCTAGGCATAGTGATGCATGCCTATAATCTCAGAACTCTGGGAGGCTGAAGAAGGAAGATACCAAATTCAAACCCAAACTGAGTAACAGCAAGACTCCTTGTCTTAAAAGAAAATATAAAAAGGGCCAGGGATGTAGCTCAGTGCAAAGGGACTGGGCTCACTCTTCAGTACTACAATAAAAATAGTAATACCTCTAAGCAACCAAAGGTTTTCAATTTGGGAACAAGGGATTAGCTGGTAGAAGAATTAACATTTACCAGGCACCTATGTGTTAATAACTTATTTAGGCTTTCCCATCTAATTCTCACACAGTCTTGTGGCTAAGTGTCATATTCCTATCTACAGATAAAGAAACTACAATTTAAAATAGCTGGTAAGTGGCAAAGCCAAAATTCAATCACAAGCCTAAACTCAAAATTCTGTTATTATTTTTAACTATTTGGTGAAAGCAAAATAGAAGAGCATAAGGATAAAATATGGTTTCTCTACATAAAAATCCACTGTGCTCAATGAAAATCTAATTACACCAAGCACAGAATCAAAAGAAAGTGCCTCTGTTACTGCCTAGTAGTTTATTTCACAATACACATACTTTCCAGTCTGCACTGACTCATGTTAAAACTTACTGCTTCATAAGACTTCTGAAGCTGTTGCTTTTTCCTCAGCCTGATTTGTTGATTGACTCGGTGTTTGACTTGTCTCTGAAAATGTTTCAAAGCTTCCTCTTTTCTTCTTAATTGTTCCTTTAGTTCTTCTTCAATTATACATGCTGAAGTCTTTAAATATAAAACACAGAAAATGAACTTAAATGTTAGCAGTTTTGCCTACTAGGAATGTAGACAGAGAAGTCAGGATATGAACTTGAAAAAAATAGTTCAGCTCTACAATCCAGAATTCTCAGAAAAAATAAGGAAATCTGGAGAATTCAGAGCCAATGATCTAAACAGGGTTAACGAGTACCAAGAATGTAAACCAAACCACAAACTGGAATTTATGAATACTCAAATTGTAACTTTTTATTAAACTAAAACTAAGTAAAATGGCTTCCCTACTTTTTAGTGAGCCAATTTAAAGTGACTTCTGTTAAATATTTTCTAAAATGAGTAAACGGTATAGGAACAGCAGACGGGTGACCACTCAGATAGTGTACTACAAAATGCCTTCATACTAGAATTATGTTGCACTTTTAATTTAGCATGTCCTTCCTTTTGCCTCCATCTAGTAAACATCTGCGCAGCACAGTGGTACACACCAGTTTTCACAGGACTCTAGGAGGCTGAGACAGAAAGGTCACATGTTCAAGCCCATCATAGTCAACCTAACAAGACCCTGACTCAAAATTTATAAAAATAAAAAGGACTAGGGATGCAACCCCATGCAAAAGCCCTGGGTTCAATCCTCAGAAATGCAAAACAAACAAAATTACTCAGTGTTTAATACTATCAAATATCACGCCAGTGTTTTCCACAGCACTGTCTTCCTCTAAGCTCTTATGCTACGGGAATTTCCATTTTACTAATGTTACTGAGTATAGGGTTTATTGACTCCCACATTAAATTATAAACTCTTTATTTTCCCTATACCTTATAGTTTAGTCTTGCCTTTAAAGGTGAAGAACATTTTATCACATTTGAGTTTCTAATCTATATTCTTCTCCTCAGTAATCAAAGTAACAGCAGTTATCACTCTGAAGGCTCTATTATGTGATAAGGTCTTTATAAGATATCACTCTAGTCTCAAAATCACCTTCAGTAGTAAAGTAATCCTGTATATTACAGACGAGAAAATTGGGGTTCAGAAAGATAAAACTCAGCAGCGATCCAAGGTCCTATAGCTGGCTAGAAGTTTTTCTTACTCCTACAGTTATTTTCTATTCTGTACTACTTTTCTCTTGAGTATGTGTTTCCTTCATAAGGAATTTTCAAGTTCCAGTAAATCATTATCAGACTTTCTTCCCAATGGCTTCTCTTTTTCGTTTGTTTTCCACTACTGGGGATTGAGCCCAGCGAGTGCGGAGCTATGCCCCTACCCTTTTGTACTTATTTAGTATTTTATTTTGAGATAGGATCTGAAAGGCTGGCCTCCAACTGGCGATCCTTCTACCTCAGCCTTCTGAGTAGCTGGGATTACAGACATGTACCACCCCTGAGCCAATGCTTCTACTAAAAGAACAATTCCAACTTCTAAATCTCAAGGGTGTCTTAGATTATTTTATAGGCTGTAATAAAATTCTCTTTAAAAGGTTTTAATACTTATTTTCAATACATAATGGATACACTCACCATAGGTAGTCAGTACATACACACCCTGCATCTTAATCCTTTTTATTTTCCCTTCCACTCCCTTTTCTACCCTCTCCCTCCTTTCAAGGAAAGGTCTATTCCCAACTGCACAAGCAAAACCTCCGTGTTTGCTATCATCTATCTTTTATTTTGTTCTGTCATGAAATTCTTAAAATTAATTTAAACTTTCTAAGAAATCAATCCTATAAATTTTCTATGTGAATATGGTTCATAGAAGTGAGATTACAACACAAAGAACAATCAGGCAAACTAACCTCAAAGAGATACAAGTGGTAGCCCCTAAACAGTTGACCCAGATTAGCTCAAACAGTAGACAAATTTAAACGATTCACCCTTCCATTTCATTTCATTCCGTTCTCTCCATCTGCCTTTCTTTTACCCTCACACTAAGATAATACAGATCTGAAGCTATGGCTTTTTAGGAATTTTGATGAACCACTGAAATTTTGAAGAAAAAAAATAGAAATTCCCCTTTAGAGTAGACATGACCTTTGGGTAACAACTTCTTAGAAATAACTATTTATATCCACTCTGAGCACACAGTGTTGTATCTCTTTGTAAGGGTGGATTCCCAGACTAAATATGCTAAAGTAATAAACAGTTCTATTAGATGCGTGACCAAATTCCCTTTGGCTGAAACTTAATTGGAATTTTATAAATGAAGACATGTTTACAGATGTCCTAAGACTTCAAGACTTTGATTATGTGAGAACTTAAGATTCAAGTCTTTTTAACAAAGAAAAAAGCTCAATGGTGCTAAATTTCAAGTATTCTGATCCTAATGACATTATAATGATGCTATAATCTGGATAATTAAAAAATGTCTTAAACAAGGCTTGGTGGCACAGGCCTTCAATCCCAGCATTCTGAGGCTGAGGCAAGAGGATCACTTTGAGTTCAGTTTAGCCTGGACTACATAGCGAGTTCAAACTCAGACTAAAACTCCAAAACAAGACTCTTTCAAAAAAAAAGTGTTAATAACTTAAATAGCAAAGGACCTTTGTACCAAATCTTATTGATTCTTCTAGGAAGTTTCTTGCATTTATTGCTTTTCATCCCACTCAGCCATCCTTTTTCAAGTCTTTTCCTATACATTCTTTACTACTAAAGCTGTTTTGATGGTATATTCTGGCCGAAATTGACACAATGATATCCTATCTGTCCCACTGTATCCAGTCTCTCCCTAACTTTTAAGAACTTTGAAGCATTTAATCTAAACAATTCGATCATTTAATTCACCTGTACGTACTAAACAATGAACTAAATCAAACCCCTCTCCAAAATGTCCTATAGTTTGTCACCATTCCCATTTTTCACAATTCTGCCAAACACTATCCCCCTCTATGCTCCAGTCTAACAATTTAATCTACCCTTGAATCCTGAGCATACCTTGCTCATTTCCTAATCACATCATCCTCCTTAACAGGAGACTCAACCTTTCTTTTCTTTGATTATTCACATTCTTCTACTTTCCTGGGTCACATCAACTCGCATCATCTTTCTTCTTTGATTAAGTATCACAGTCCTCACACTTAATCATATATCATTCAGACTCTTAAAATCTCTCCTGATAGGCAAGGTGGGAATAAAGTGGTTAATGTGTACATATACATACAAATATAAATACAATGAACACATTATATTGCATCGTTATTCAACATTGAACTTTTTTGGTTTGTTTTTGAGACAGGGTCTCACTGTGCAATTCAGAATGGGCTTGGACTCACAGGATCCTCCTGCTTTCACCTCTGGAGTGCTAGAATTACAGGTGTGTACCACCACACCATGCTCAACATCTACTTTAAATCTGTCTTATTTTAAATAAACTTGGGAAACGTAACTCTTACTGCTTCGCCCATGTTCAACACCATGTCTATACATACAGAAGACCATCATGAACTTGCCTACTAGGAAATATATAGGCTAAAAGTGAAGGCATGATAATAAAATTTGTTTCCTATGTACAAGGAGCTCACTTTCTATCAGAAAAAGTGATGTGAACTTAGAATAATAAAACATGTCACAATAAAATTTGACCAAACAGCAGTGTTTCACTTTGGTAAATTCTATAAAAAACTTACAAAAATTGTGGTCCCGAGCCAAGCGTGGTGGCACGTGCTCATAATCCCAGTACTCATGAGATTGAGGCAGGAGTTTGAGGTCAGCCTGGGCTACTCAGTGAGTTCAAGGCCACCCTGAACTATACTGCAAGACTCTGCCTCAAAAGACAAAAAATTGTGATTGTGTATTAAGTGGTCTATGAGAATCACCATGTAAACCTGTACACATGTAAACTTTGTAAAAGCTGCCCTTCAGCTGAAATACCCCTCCCTAACATATGTATTTACTACATTCCCATTTTTCCAGGCCAACACAGACCATATTCTCTTTCATTCATTTAACAAAAACTTCCTGAAGACCTACTACGTGCCAGGGGAAAAAATGAAAAGAAGCAATGGTCCCTGTCTCATGGAAGTTGTATTTAACAGTCTCCGAATTAATCTCTTTCCCCTTTATTCTCTTATCGCATTTTGCCTAAATCTCCCTTACAAATCTTACCATAAATGTTAAGAAACTAATATTCTTAAAGTATGACCAGCTGCCATCCCTGCTAAATGCAGGAGTGCATGAAAGATGCAGACAGCACCTACCTCTTGTGCACAACAAGCTATCAAGTTTGCACAATAACCTTAGGAATACCTTGTCCTGTATGTCATGGTCTGTATAGAAGGTGAGCAATAACTAAGTAATTCCATTATGCCAACGAGAGCTGCAGCAAGTTTTGGCAAATACATGTTTGTTCTATAATCCTAATGCAAGAATATAATCTATTTGTAACAGAAAGAAACCGTATCTTCTGGTCATCTTTGTGCACCAAAACCTAATAATAAAAGAGGGTTAATAAAAAGGGGAGAGGGTTGTCGCCTCGTTAGAATCAAACTGACACTCACATATGCTGGGATTTCATAGCTATTTGGAGAGGCTGGCTCCACCCATGCCCCAACTGGTACGACAGCCTGGTTCCTCTCTGCCAACACTGCCAATACGTCCTTGCTCTTCATGGGGTTTAGAGCCAGAGGCAAATCTGCCACATTGCGATGTTTCTTGAGGGGGCACATACGTCCTGGCATCTGTGACTCCTAGGTAGGAGAAAGGAAAACCTTAAAATCTTCAAATCATCGTGTTAAAAGCTCAAACCTCCTAACCACTGCCACAAACCGGTGAAGAGAAGCCCAAAAGGAGGTAGAGGCCTGGTAGGGAACAGAAAAACAGGGATTCTGGAGAAAAAGGAAAGGAAAAGAAGTAGGAAAAAATAAAGATGGAAGGAAAGGTTTTTAATGCCTTCTGGAAGGAATGGGGATGAGGGAAAAGAAACCAGGGGTGGGCAGGAGGGATGAAGATTTTGCCCTGCGCCACGAAGTACCAGGTCTGAGACAGAGTCCAACTACGCACTGTTGTCGGTATCTAGGAGGAAGCGAAGCGCTGAACCGCTGGTAATTCCGGACCAGGTAAAAGTCTGCTTCTAAGGCCGCGGAAGCGGACTCCTGCTAAGACGTTAGTGTCCAAGTACCGGGTATCAACTCTTGACAGGCTCACACAGTGCGGGTACTCAAGAAACTATCTCAAACTAACCGCCACTTCAGGTACTACACGCTACCCCGCCCCTCCGTCGCCTTGTGCCCGCCTCTTCCGGGCTTCCCTCACATCCAATGGACTGGAAAAGGCGGAAGGGGCGGGAGTTTCCGTCGCCGCTACGTCACTTCCGCTTCCTGACTGTGGGCAGGAACTGGTGGGTTTGGGGATTGTTAGGCACTGTGCAGGCGCGGGCCTTGCTAGCCTAAGGCTTCAGGAGCTGCAGGAGACCTGATACCCCGTTAAGAAAAGGATTCCGTGGGCCAATGATCTATCTGACGGACTGAGTGGGCCAGGGATCCCATTTGAGGAAAGCCCTAAAAAATGATAGACAAAACAGCCCATCGGTATTCATCAAGGAACAGATTAAGCCAACAATAGATCATACTTTTATACAGCTTATTGCGTTTACAATGCTGTTTCAGCCATATTCTTGGATATGAACACTGCAGCTTCTTAAAGGTTCTCTCTCTGGTCCAAGCTCTGTGGTAGTCTAGAAACTGTATTAAATTCCTGTGGGGTTATTCATTCATTTAACATTATTGCAAACTTTCTCTATACAAGTACTCCTGTAGGCATTAGGGATAAATAGCAGTGGACAAAACAAATGATATCCCTATATTTCAATATAGCCAAAGAACTAATCAAATAAAAACATGAGTAAGTAAATGTGTCTGATCCCAATGAGTGCTATGAAGTAAAACCAGGAAAGATTGGAAATATGTATGTGAGTGGAGGGAGATGTTAGGATATCCAGAGATGGCTTCACTAGGATGTTTTGAAGCAATGCCTTAAGTGAGATAGTGCAACAAGAAACTGTGGTCTTCAAGGAAGAGTTTTTATAAGGATGTTTCAGGTGGGAGAACAGCAAGTACAAGTGCCCCAAGGTGACAGCATTGCCTGGGTGAGAAACAACAAGGAAGCTAGCACAGTACAAGTGGAGCGGAGTGAAAGGGGAAATGCTGAGATAGGAGGTCAAAAGTCAGGCATGGGCAGTCATACAGAGTATTGTAAGCTACCAGAATGTGCTCAGATACAGAGCTATTGGAGCACTTTGAGTAGAGGAAATTCATAATGTGATTTAAATTTGTTCAAAAAAAAAAAAAAAAAAACCTCTGGAAGCAGCAGCAGCAGCAAACACCCTCTCTGAGAGTCACTGTCCAGACACTGGAATATAGCATAGCATAGTGAGGAAGACAAGAAGAAAGGAAGGAAGTGGGTTCCCTGGACCCAGGAAGAATCTGAAGTGTGAATTAAAGCCCACAGAGAGAGTGAAAAGAAAAACTTCAGTAAAAAATGTAATAGCCGGCAGCACCTTCTCCCTGAGGCAAACTCCCTGCTCGGGAGGAGCTGTTTGAGCCTCGGGATGCATGGTGAGCCTCGGGATGCATGGTCATGCTGACCGTGATGACTGTCAGCCCTGCAAGCCTCTGCAGAGGGTCCTAAATACTATCAGTAAACCAACCCACCATAGGCAACTTACAAGAATTACCCCAGGCATTAAACTAAAAAAAAAAAGAAAGAAAGAAATGAGAAGACAATTAAGATGCAAACCTAGACATCCAGTTCACTGAGAGCAAACTCAGGAGGTAATGAGGTAGAACAATCCGCAAGACACCCACCAGGTCTCTCTGAAGTGGAAACAACAAAGTAATTGAATGAGGCTCTGAAAAAAATGAAATCAGAAATAATCTCTCAGATAACTACAGCTATTACTAAAATACACACCATGCTCAGTGATGTTAGTACAGATATAGGTCAAAAAAAATAGATGAGCTTAAGCAAATTATGGATGAAATGGAATCCTTAAATCAGATTCAGACAGCTATCCAGGAAAACAAAAACTTACACTGAAAATATTCAAAGCCAGAATAGGCTAATGTGAAGACAAGATCTCAGATATTGAAGACAGGCTTGCAGTTAGCGACCAGGAAAAGAAAGATTTCTCAGAAATATCCAAGGGCCATGAGAAATCAATCCAGAAGTTTCTAGATGAGACAAAGAAAAATAACTTAAGATTAAGTAGAGTCAATGAACAAGCAGGAGATACTACAAATGACAGTAAAAAAATGTTCACAGATATCATGGCAGAAAAATTTCCTGGTAGAGAAAAAGAAATTGACATAAAGATAAATGAGATATATAGCATTCTAATTAGCAATGATCAAAAAAATCTACAGCCAGACATATCATAGTCAAGGTTCCAGAAATGCAGCACAACAATGTAATCCTAAAAGCTGTTAGAGAAATAAATCACCTATAAAGGAAAGCCCATCAAAATTATAGTTGGGATGTCTTGTGCTCTGGGTAAACGATTTTTGGGTTGACAATGCACAATGTATGTATCATGGTTACCCCTTGATTGATGTGCTTTGAAATTTTGTTGTAGTTTTTTTCTTTTTATATTTGAATAAAATGGATTTGAAAGACAAATACAGCTGACTTCTCAGCACACCCCCTCAAGTCAAGGAGAGATTGGAGTGAAGTACTCCAGGTTCTAAAGGAAAACAACATTCATCCCAGATTGAGGTATCCCACAAAACTATCTTTCAGCATTGATGGAGAAATAAGATACTTCCATGACAAAGAATATCTGAGGAAATCTCTGACCACCAAACCAGCACTCCAAAATGTTCTGAAGGACATTCTAGAAAGAGATAATGAGAACTACAGCTCCATGAATCCCAACAGAAGGAACCCACCAGGAAAAGCAAACAATTAGAGGGAGGGGAAAAAAAGGGGAACTAACAACAGGAAAATAACAAGGATAAGTCAATATATATCAGTTATAATATCAATGTTAATGGTCTCAATTCATCAGTCAAGAGACACAGACTGGCAGAATGAATCAAGAAGCAGGATCCAGCAATATGCTGCATACAATAAACACATTTAATTCAAAAAGAAATTCATAGACTGCAAGCCAAAGGATGGAAAACAAGACTCCATATGACAGGAACCCAGAAAAAAGCAGGGATAGCTATTCTTTTTTTTAATAGAGGATTTTATTTAAAGAGAAAAAAAAGCAAAACAGAAAAAAGGGTAGAAGTAATACAGAATTTCAAAAAAACAGTAAGAAATCACTAGTTGATAGATTACATATTGTTATCTTAGAAGTCACTGTTAAAGTTACAAAATTAAAGCATACAAAGTGGACATTTAAACAGTAAGACTGAAAACAGTTCTGTTCAATGATCCAACAAAAACTTAGTAATATGGCTATCTGTTTTACACACTTAAACATACATGGGGTTATATCCTTTAGCGCACTTTCTTTTCCTTTCTTTTTTATAATAACAATTACACATTTTAAGTTTTATTACTCCTACAGTTCTTATTACTTTGTTTGAAGAGAATAAAACCAAATGTGACAAAGCAAAATGGAGTCAGTTAAAATAAGAATAGATACAGTATATAATGTAAAAACAAAATACAAGGTGACCAACAATGGCTACTATAGAGCCTCTTGCTATCTTCAAAAGAATTGCCCATATCTTAAAGAGGATAATATTAAACATACCAAAACAGAACAAAATAGATCATAAGGAAACAATTTTAAGAAGCACTGATTTCAAAGCAAGTCCACTGGAGATCTTCACTGTCGGTCTTATTGTCTCTAGTTTTCTTCCAAATAGTTGTCTCCATCTTCACACACAGTGAATATGAAGACATACTAAACATTATAGAACTAATCTGATCATAACAGGGTGATGAAGGCTTTTTAGGTCTTCAAGAACTGACCTTGGGAAAGTAAGCCTGTTGTTATTTTGATGATTTGTCCTTTGTAGGTGATCTGCTTCTTTTCTCTGGCCACTTTTAATATTCTGTTCTTGTGGTGGATTTCTGGAATCTTGATTATTATATGTCTGGGTGTAGATCTGTTTTGGTTGTAGTTGGTTGGAGTTCCATATGACTCATTTATCTGGATATCATTTCTTTTTCCTATGCTTGGGAAGTTTTCCTTAATTATTTCTGTGAATAGTCTTTGTAATTCGTTTGTGGTTACTTCTGTTTCTTCGCTTATGTTTTTTATTCTTAAGTTATAGATCCTCTTGTCATCTTCTAGTCTTTGAATTGTTATACCTTGGTTCTTTGTTCTTTTTAAGAGGTCTTTTTTTTTTCATGATCACACAATTGTAAATCTCTCTTCAAGTTTCGAAAGGCTGACTTTTGTTTCTGTCAAAGCATTTTGCCAGTTTTCAATGGAGTTTTTAGTTCCTGGTAGTCTCTTTGGATCTGTTTCATGTATTCTAGATTGTGTTTATATTCTTCCTTTTCTGGGTTCCTCCCTTCTTCCCTTGGTGTTTTCTTGAGGGGGCTTAGCATTTCTTTAATTAATGTTTTTATTTCTTGCTTCATTTGGGTCAGAATTTCAGGTTTAAGTTCATCTATGAAGTCACGAATGTATTTCTTTATGTCTGCTGATGTTGTGGCTAATGTTGCATTATTGCTGGACTAATTCCCTTCTGTATTTACCTCTCCTGGGCTTATTTTCAAAGGGTCAGCAGCTGGAGGTTTTGTTTTATCTTTTCCTCTTATCATGCTTCTAGTTTCTTTCAGACAGGTGTGTGGAGGAGGTCTCAGGCCATCTCTGTATTACTTACAGTTTTTTAAAGCATGCTGGCTGGAGGCTTGCTGCTCTCTCCAGTTTGCTGATATCTGAGGCAGCCTGCAGGGATGCTGTGGGTTGGCCCCTCATCTCTGAGGCAGTCAACTTGCAAGTGCCTTCAGCACTTTATGCTGTGCTGTGGCAGACGTCACAGGGTCGGAACAATTTTGTCCCTGGCTATTGGTTCCTGACCAGCAGTGTGGTTCAGCCCAAGCTGCTCCCACCAATCCTCTCTGGGCTAGGGGCAGTGGACTGATGCCACCGTGGCACAGGGCTCTACCCTACTCCAAGTTGTCTTTCAGTCAGCCTCCCCCACCATGGGATCCAATTTCCAGCACTCACCAAGAGCCAATAAAGCTCTCTACCTTGGCTTTACTCCACACTGTGCCACATCCTCCCACCAAGGGCCTGGGACTCACCAACTCCTGTTATTGGC